CAATCCCTATTCATCTCAATATAACAGGTCCCTAAGTAGGTTGTTTGCAGTTTTACTCTTTTAATACCATGTTCACTTTTCACCTTTTATTGAAACCAGTTATTCAACTATGCAAACTGTGTCAGTTTTATATATCTATTGTTCCCCTATATGGTCTTTCTCACTCACATGTAGCTGAGTTTGCATTGGGTGTTGGCTTGTCAGTAGTTGTTGTAAGAGTTCATGTTGTACATTACAGAGCATTGTATTTTAAACATTGAAGTTTGAAATATACTATTTTATATATATTTTAATTTGAAGTTCGAGTTATTTTATTGCCACCCACGGGCCTTCCACACGCCCATTTACATATAACGCTTTGAAACAACTTTAAAAAGTGAGCAATGTCAGTGTTGTGATAATAGAGAATTTTCGTTATAAGTTGTTTCAAAAACTTATACGTATACTTATAGTTTAAAGGGTCTTGTCGAACTAAAATCAATTCAAATTGATTTTCATAATCTGTACCAAGTGGGGCATAACTATTCCCGATATAGTCAAGCTCCATCATCAACTAGGGACTGTGAATACAATGTCCTTTGCTAGTGTTGATTATGAACACGATAAACTAAATGCTAGTTGACGGGTCCTTGTAGTGTACGATAAACAAGACCCTTTAAAGTGAATCACTACACGAACGAGTCGATCATTTCAAAGTTCTCATGAAATTATAAGGTCAATTTTTAAGTTTTTACGTATAAAAGGGCCTTTATACGCAGATTATAAACTTACAGAGTTGGATCTCCGCATAGTATATGTGTGGACCTACTGACCAGAATGGCTTATTAAAATTAATCGGCTGAATAGGCATAGTATCCAATCAAATAGCTCGACTCATTCATTAGCTGAACTAATTTTCCCTTCGTTATTTCTACATGGTGATTCAAAACGATCATCTACAAAAAATATATTTGAGAGTAGATAAATCTGTAAAACCCGTGTGCTATATCAGCCTATTTGATTCTAGAAAACACATGACATGACACAACTAAACATGCTTTACATCAAGGGGGTACGGATGGTATGCCATTGGCCCTTTTTATTACCGTCCTAGGAGATATTTCCCGACGAATTAGGAAATTATGAAACACCTTGTTTATTGGGTTTATAAGTATAAGTATACGTATAAGTTTTTAAAAAACTTATAACGAAAATTCTCTAATAACGCCCCTCATACCTATTTATTACAGGTCGTGTAGACCATTGTTGCCTGATTTATAGCAAAAACATTGACTTTTGCACGTTGATGATGATGATGATGATGCGCCTTTTATAATAGATCTCATATCTTAGAAGCGTATCAGTTCAAAAAATACTAGAAGACCTTACATATTTTGCCATGCACTGCGCCTATTCATTTGGCAATTCAGTTGTAAATTTTATCTTGAAAAAAATAAATCTTCCAAATTTGTTGAATTTTCTTGCAGAAATCGCTTCCCCCCCCCCTCCATCCATTTTGTATGATCACAAGGCGTGATTTAAGCTGCTGATATTCTTCTTTAAACGAGTCGGATTTTCAAAATCTATAAGTTAGACTCCCTTTATAGAAGCTTTGAACTGAATTTGCACTGCTTAATGCTGAAATTTTATTGTTTATCCATACATTTTAAGAAAAAATGTATAAAAAAAGATGTTAAAGCCAAATGTTGCCCTAAAAATTCAGAAAATGTAAAAAATTCGAATTTTCTATGTACAGGCCTTGTTGCCCCTTTAAGAAGCTTAATATGTAAATTATCTAATCAAACACTTCGTCCACCATTTTGAAACACTAATCAATCAAATCTGTGCTAGCGATTCATAGGGCGAGCCAGTGGGATATTTCCAGGGTTCGTACACACCTGGAAATGTCAGGGAAATTGACTTGATTTTCCAAGTGCTGGAAATGTCAGGTAATTTTAAAATTAGGTTAAAAGGGCCAAAGATGACCGGGAATTTTGAAACGGTAGACATGTCAGGGAAATGTCAGGGAAATTTGTATCAGTGTTGAAAAAATAATGTTCCAGAGATTAATGTTTCCAAACTGTTTTGAAACAAACTAACGTCTTGTTTTCAACCTACACCTTGCTCCTTTCTGTCGTATTTAATAAAACAAAAATAGTATATCACGGAGGGATACGAACCACTCACCTGGGACTTGGTTATTCACTAGCGCCATAGGCGTTCTACTATTCTGGATACAACTGACGAGTCGTATTTAAGTGGAGACAAAAGTGAGGATCATTTTGAATTGACGCTCGGTATAAATATATAATACTTTTGTTCTTTCATATCGGTAGCTCGTTGGCCTCATGGTTAGCGTGCCTGGCTTCCATAGTCTAGGTTAGTTGATCGAGACCCGTTCATGTCGAACTTTTTGATTTGCTTGTTGTCAAGATATAATAAGTAGGGCAAAATCCAGAAAAAGTAGATCAAAAATACTCCAATGGAGTATAAAATTGTCACCAGGATTCCGGAATGAGACGAATGTTAACTCGTGAAATCTCGGTAGATAAAGTAGGTCAGAAAATCCGGATTAATCCGAACAAGGTTCGGGAATTTCCGTCATAAGAAGTAGGTCAAAAATACTCCAATGGAGTATAAAATTGTCACCAGGATTCCGAAATACGACGAATCGAATCGGCAAACTTCGGTACAATAATGAAGTGCATAAAAATCGTGAAACAGGTGTCGGGGGCTTCCCCTCATCTTTCCATAAATGGTTCTAAAAGCCTAATATGGATCTATCACGTGACATTCAAAATGACGTTCCTATATGGTTCTATGGGCCTTATATGGATCTTTCGAACACGTGACCAAATCAAAATCAAAATCAAAATTTTACCTTGACTATTGGATGGGATTTCATAGAAAATATCAAAGAAAACATATTCTCGTGATCCTTAAATCACTTAAATTCGATCATTTTATCTTCACCCCTTGATGGAATTTTATGAAAGAAGTTATGAAAACACATCATCATGTAAGGGTTTTCACCTAAATTAGCTCGTTTTATCTTGACCCTTCAATTGAATTTCATTGAAAAATGTTTCATGAAATATATCATCATGTTATGATTTGTATTTAAATAAGACCGTTTCATTTAAATACTCGCTGGATAATATTTCATAAAAAAATGCACTTTAAAAATATTTCAGGATTTGCCTTAATTTATCAATGTAATGTAAGTATTAGATTGACTATAGGGTTCTATTTTAACTTTTTTATTGAAATTAATACTAGGCAGGACTCACTCTCTAAATAGCTAATAAAAATTCAACCCTTGGATGTGATTTCGTTGAAAAAAAAATATGACAAGTCCAGAATCAAATGATTTGTCCAGAACCTCTTAAGATCCTGTTAGTAGCTTTTTGTACTATACTTTTGTATTTCTAGAATCACATAGCCAAAACATTCCTCTGTTGACTCTGATAATCTTCATCTAATGATCTAACTAGATATCTATTTATCAAAATATTCTATTGGATATCAATTTGAAATGTCGGAACAGTAGGAAAATAGATACCTGAGAATGACTCTAACTTTCCGAGATAAAATGTGTTAACGAACGAAAAGAATTTTGAGAAGGACTAAAAATATCCCCGTTCCATCATAATAAATGTATAGCGCAATAGTCATTGAAGGACTTGGCAATGTTAACAGCAGCAATTATTTTCAGATATGACCTTAACCCTTTCCCGACGTGAATATAAGAGGAAAATGTTGGCCCAGGTGACGGATAAGTAAGAGCAGTTTTTAGGGGAAAACTGAAAATTACCTATGCCCAGGGACCTATACCTTGAATTTTATCACTGAAATACATTTTTTAGTAAGGACTATCGTATTAGAACAACTTGTCAAAATTTGGTGTAAAAATACTGAATAGAACTGGAGATATTATCATTTCATCGATGTATATAAATAAAAATTATGGTGCCAAAAGGAGCCTATCGTCCTGAAAGGTATTACATAATAGGGCTCCATATGGAGCCCATCGTCGTGAAAGGGTTAAAAGCCCTTAAAATAGGGGTTTGGAATTTTATAACCCTCTTAAAACCTGTTAAGGGACTTTAGAAGAGTTTCCTTAGAGTTTCTACCCTCACCATTCTCTTTTTCCAACTCAATATCCATCCGACCCGAAAAGAATTGCTGCTGTTAAGATGGCCCGGGAGAAAACATTGACTAGTGATTTGATGAAAATTGAACTTAATTTTGACCAAACACTAAATTTTGAAATGCCTGTAACTTTTTCCCATTTGGGAGTTAAACCATGATACTTGGTAACTTTGGATAAGCTTTAAAATGATATATGACACATACTATGAGGAGACTGGAATATGCCTGCCTAGGGGGGGGGCATACTTTCGGGACACCCAGTAGACATGACCAGAAATGATATGAGCCAAAAATATTCTGAATACTGTATATAACCACAAATGCCAAAGGGAAGGGTGACTAAAAACCTTAAAGAAACTCAACAAGAAAAGCAAACTGTAAGTGTAAATCTGTCATAAGAAAAGTAGACCCTATATATCCCAAAACCATGATCTAACGTGAAAAGAAACAATGTCTAACATCCCCCTCCCCCTCCAAGAACCAATATCACAATCCAGGACCAGAACACCAAGGGACATTTCATTCATACTGAAGCCATTACAATACTAGAATAGTACATGTTGAAGAACAATTGAATAAATTGTAAGCCAATACTCATAACACCAAAAATAGTTGTAGATACTAGTACTAGTACTCATAAATGATATGGGATGGATAAAATCCAGTCTCGAAGTCCATAGTCAATTCAAAGGGTCAACATCCTTCCGCAAGGCCGTCATCATAATCCATAATACACAACAATTCACAATGGTCATCAGGAGAAAACTATGGCTGGTTTCGATGAAATAGACTAGATGCAAGTACAGGCTTTACTACCAAGTAGAAATAATCTTGATTTACGAAGGATGTAAGAATACCTTATATTTCAGGTGTTACGAGTTCCCGAGAACATGTTCTTAGTGTCATTGGCCACTGCTGATATACTGGTTGCTGGATGCGTACTGCCTTTCGGCATTGCAGGTAAAGCAAATCCTGTACCTAAACTAATTCATCAATATAAAAAAAATTGAAATATGCCAGCTCAATTCAAAATGGCCGCCATTTTTCGTCAAAAATGTTAGGTCCAAAAACTTAATACTTGTTGGCGAGTTTTGTTGAAAGGAGGAGGGAAAGTATCGAAACTTACAGATTTCTGACAGTCATATGTTGAATTTTGGCTTTTCTGAGGATTCAAACAGGTGCATATGTTAGGCCAATATATTATCTCCAGGACAAGCACTCATAGAGATAATAATTTCGTCTGTGAGACAATGAAATGTTGTCATGATTTTAACCTCTTCATTCCACCCCTGCTAACTTTTTCAATTTTTGTTGCATCAAAATGTTGCGTTTTGACACATGGTTAACCCCTTTAAAGGAATAAATAATTCATAATGTACATATACTTTTATACGCAGATGACATTGGTCTTTTAAATCATACTGTTGAAAATATGCAAAATCAGCTAAATATACTATCAGAATTTTGTGATAAATTTGGCATGAATGTGAACCTTTCGAAAACTAAAATCATTGTATTTAGAAATGGTGGTATTGTTAAAAAGGATGAAAAATGGCTATACAAGGGTAAAAATGTTGAAATAGTTTCTTATTACAAATATCTGGGTTTAATGATTTCTTCTAGGTTAAACTGGTCAGTCGCAACCAAAACACTAGCCAATCAAGATGGAAAGTCACTACATGTCATAAACCAAATCTCAAAATTAGGTGGCTCATTATCATTTGAAATGGGATTCAGACTTTTCGATTCTCTGACGCTTCCTATTTTAACATATGGCTCAGAAATATGGGGTTTTAAAGTTTACGACCAAGTGGAAAAGGTTCAAAGAAAATTTTGTTAATCATTTCTTAAAGTTGCATCACAAACAACAAATGAGGCAGTTCTAGGGGAATGTGGACGATACCCATTATGTACAATATATATGTCAAAATGTGTAAAATGTGTTGCTCTAACTCGATTGAGATGTAGTAATCATTCATTAGAAATTGAAATGGGTCGAAGAAATAATGTGCCCAGGGAACTACGGTTTTGTAAGTTCTGTTTAGCAGCAAATGTTAATATTATTGGAGATGAGTACCACATGGTTATGATATGTGAGAAATTCAGATCTCTAAGAAAAATGTATTTGCCAGATTATTATTGTTATAGACCAGATATGGTAAAATTTATACAGTTAATGTCAACTGAAAATGAAAAATTAATTTGTAATTTAAGTTGTTTTGCTTATCACTGTCTAAAATTGTATGAAAATTAACTGTAACTAGGAGGCCTGTGGCCTTAGAAGTTTTGAAATAAACATTATTATAATTCATCTTAGGGAAAGTTGAAAACGATATTTCCAATGTTATTTTCCCATAGGGAAAAATCATGCGATCCATTTATTCCAGCTAATTTTGGTTACCAGTGGATACCTTTAACCCTGAGGAAATTGTGTGTCGAAACGCATATTGATACATGTTGATTTCAACAAAAATTGAAAAAGCAGGGGTGGAAGGGGGTGAAAATCAGGACAACATTAAAAAAACATGTATGTGGGTTGTTTCTTCCCTGTCTCAAGGTCGAAATTATTTTATCATCTCTATGAGTGCTTTTCTTGGAAGTAACGCGTCGGCCTAACATATGCACCTGTTTAAATCCTCAGAAAATAGTCAAAATCCAACATATGACTGTCTGAAATCTGTTGCGATACTTTCCCCCTCTTTTTACCTGCTAATGACTAAAGACAAAGGAGCTTTACTCGAGAAGACATAATTAAGATGGCCGTCGAATTTCAAAATGGTCATCATTTTTCGTAGAAAACGTAACATTTGATAACTCAAATACCAGTGTATGGATTTGGTTCCAATTCTATATATTGATGCCTAGGAATACAGGAGCTCTGCTCAAGAAGGAATTTTAAAAATGGAAGCAAAATACAAAATGGCCACCGCTCTTCGTAAAATAACGTAATCTTTGATAACTCAAATATCATTGGACGGTTTTGGTTCAAATTTATATGACGATGCTGAACCACGCAAGACCTCAGCTCTATAAGGAGTTCTAAAGATTTCAGCTAATTTTTATAAAATGAGCTCTGTTCAAGAAGAATTGTCAAGATGACAACATTTATCAAAATGGCCATCATTTCCCATTAAAATATAATCTTTCAATTGATAACCCAAATACCAGTTGACAGATTTGGTTAAAATTTTATACGCTGATGCCTCGGGACAAAGGAGCTCTTTAGAAGATATTTTTCAAGTTGCCCGCTATTTATCAAAACATGTTTTGTTCGGTGGGATTTGCTACTCCGTGGAGTTGTTGTTATCTAGTTTAAAAAAATATCAACATTATAAGAATATTTTGTAATATTCACGATTAATGATTACAATTGAATTATGTTGCCTTAACTGGCAATTTTTCATTTTTTCTGATAGTGCGGACAACCTCAGTGTATTCTTTGTCGGTCGGAGAATACAATAACTTGTCAAATGAATTTGAAAGCAAATGGGTTTCGTTTAGAAATAAAATCATATGATCAGATGCATATGACAAACTCATAGCAATTACTCTCCAAGTGAGGATAGTTTAAATTAGGCCCACGATGATAGTAATGTAATTCTGTATTGTTATAGGTGTAGTAGAAGGAGAGGCGTACTTCTACCATAGAGTCAAGTTATGTGAATTTCTAGGAGCTGTTTGTTTTCTTAGTTGTCAGTGTGCATTCTGGTCTATAAGCGGGCTGGCAGTGAACAGGTAAGTTCGATGGTAAGATGACCAAGCTCTAGTTATATACGCATAAGTACATAAACTTCATAGACATAGACCTCAAAACGAGGATTTTACTAATACCTACCTTGGTTACCATGATAGGACTTGGCTGAAACAACATTCATTCACAAATGTAAAATGTTAACTTCAGAATAATATAAATAGTTTAAATGAATGATTGAATTATATATACGCCGTTGAGAATTACTTTTAACGCCGTCAAAGATGATTTCATACGATTATATACGCCGTTAAAATTGCTTTAACGCTGTTAAAAATAACTTCTAACGCCGTCAAAAATTCATTTTGAACTGTGTCAAAAATGATTTTGAACGCGTCAAGCACACGAAAATTACGTCTTAGCTGGCAGCAAATTAAAACCAGTGTTACAATCTGTGTATTCATTGAACAAACGAACGTGTATGTTCGACTTACCCGGACTGATTGATATAATTCCAAAACCCTATTTTTCTGTTAATGTATGTCACATTTATCATTCATATTGGCATGTTTATTTGCCAGACGCATTTGCTTGTATGGAAGACTACAACTGTCCCGGGAATTTGATATAATCACGTTTTCATTGTTTGTTTTTTCGCAAATAATTAAGAATGTACGTTTGCAATATCGAAGGGGTCATGTGAATATTTATGTCTCAAAACCTTTTCGATACGATTTTCGAGTCTAAATCGTAAAATCGTATACGATTTTACAAAAACTTTACTCGTTGTTGATAACGTGACCTTTATAAATCGTATACGACGCTTAAAGTCGATGTGTATAAAATAAGAATTCATTTCCTGGGGATATTTCTGGTTAAGGTTTACAAATGCATGTATATAAAAACGTGTACGTTTTTAAACGCTGTTAATTGACGTGTAGTGTATATCTTGTACAATTCTAAACGTAGAATATTTTTGAAATTTCTATACGATTATGTCGTGTAGATGTAGTACGGCTCACTATAGAAAGATGTCACTGTACGTACATAATAATTGAATCATTCTTTACAGGCCAGTTAATATCGCTTTATAAATTAAAGGTACAGGGTGTCCCACAGCTCATGGGAATGTATGAGAGGTGTAAGTTAAACGGTAGATTTACTTGTCAAACTGGTTAAACATGAATTGAGGAAAATGTTTCTAGGTGGTTTTCAGGCATGTATTAAACCTCCCAAAAGATTCTCATGAGTTCTGGGACACCCTGCATAATAGGTAAGATATAAAGATAGCTGTGCCAATATATTCAATTTTTAACAATAACAATGTATTTGGAAGTCATGGATATTTTGACCAATGTGTTCTTCGGGGAATATATGATCAGTAACACATGACGAAGTAACAGACAGAACCAGGTACTAAGAAGAGGCACGTGCATCGAAATAAATAGTCGAGTTTTCTTGCACCAAGATGAAGAAACATCAAACGCTCTCACTCTCTTTGTCCCAATAATTAGTCAGTGCATACAGAATGGGAGGGGTATTTTCAGACAGACAACAAGGGCGTTAAATGACACCCCATTGAATAAGTAAGAAATAATATTGGGATCATAATGTTGCTTCACTGTGGGATCATAAGACTACATTTTGATGTGATTGGCCTGGACTGATCAGAAAATGAGCATGGAATGGGACAGTATAATAATGATTTAACACGCAAATCGATCTTAATGTCAGAAAATATATATTTTGTTATATTCTTTAGTTCAACCCAAACTTGTGAGTGTAGAATAGTACATATACATACAATTATAACATGGAATTCGAAGATGATCAGACGTTTAATAAATGACATCACAATAAAAGAACAAGGAAATCAATGTTTGGAATGATTCTTTATTTCCTTCAGTTTTGGAGAGAGCCATATTACAAAGAATATAACTACATTACACGTTGATTTTATGATTCATCGAATATATGACCTTTACTAATGCCCATTACTTCGCGATTTCAGTTATTACTCATCATGAAAAACCATGACATCTCAAATCTTCTCAGCCCTGAGATGATGTTTCAGGTGAAACAGAAAGATGCTATGAGTATCAGAATGGTTATTTCTCAGCTATAAATTGCTTTTCGATCATACAGGGCGTTAAATAAGTCTGTTCTCCCCCCTAAATTTTTAAATTTAGAAATAACACAGTGTTTTTATATGCCATTTTAAACATTTTAAAGGGAATTTAATTTGCTGATCACACACCAAATTTCAGAGAGATTGGTTAAATTCCAAACTTTTAAGGGCATTTTTAGTGATGTTCCTATTTCACATTCTTAATATGTTTACCCAAAGCAGCTTGGACAGTCTCGATCCTACAAGGATATGATTCAAAAATGTTCACAAACAGGGGTGTTGTTTCTAAAAGCTTTCTTGATGCATTTGAGCAATGTATCATGGCTATGAAGTTTCTCCTCTGGTTTAGCTTTTTCGACCCTGTCCTAAATAATCGCAGTATCAACTTTTCACCATTCGTTCATCATCCTGGTAATTTTACTCTTTTTGACGCAATCAATGGTCAACTACATCCTTTCAAGAAACATTGTAGCAATTCTATTAGGAAGAGTTCATTATTAATTTTCTTAGAGTGATCAGTATTTTCAATAAGCTTTAAAATGATATATGGAAAAGTATGATAACTTAAGAAATAAAAGAGTCAAGGGGGGAGAACAGACTTATTTGACGCCCTGAATCATTAGATGTTTATCCTGCGTTCTCTATGTACTAGTGGCGACATCCTTTATTGGATCAAGCCATCCCAATTTAAGAACACGACAACGAGTTATGTAATCGTATATATTGTATATAGAAAATCATCAAGATTATGTAATCGTATACATAAGCTAGTCCAGCTACAAGCCCTTTTGATCCCCCTAAACACACGAGTTACGTAATAGTATGTGAAAAAATCGTCGACATTTTATAATCGTATACATAAAACTTCGTATAGTACACTATATCGAGTTATGCAATCGTACATAGAAAATCGTCAAAATTCTATAATCGTATACATAAAACTTCGTATAGTACACGATATCGAGTTATGCAATCGTACATAGAAAATCGTCGAAATTTTATAATCGTATACATAAAACTTCGAACAGTACACGATAACGAGTTACGTAATCGGGTGTGGAAAAATCGTCGACATTTTATAATATCGTATACATAAAACTTCGTATAGTACACGATATCGAGTTATGTAATCGTATATAGAAAATCGTCGACATTTTATAATCGTATACTAGTACATATTATAAAATCGTTGTATGAAATCTAATAGTGGCGACATCTTGTCATCCCAAGTTGACATGTTCAAGTTAATCACAAGATATCAAGTTATGTAATCGTATATAGAAAACCGTCGAAATGTAAAGAAGAAAAACGTATACGATTTTAGATACAAAAATTGCAATAAAATCGATAACATTGAAATCGATTTTATCCCTTCAATGGACATGCCAATCAAAGTTCATCTACACGATATGAGTTGATGATAGATATCGAAAAGTGCACACGATGAAGGACATACGATTTTTTATACTACAATTTCATACATTGAATTTCAAGCATAAAAGCTGAATTTAATTTCTACTGTATATATGTCCGATTTACTTTTGTCTGTAAAGTTACATACAACTGAAGTACAATACATGAATTACATTCGTAAAATAAATTAACGTATTTCAAGACTGAAGACATTCCTAACTCATCTAAGCACTTGGTTTAAGAATTTCACTTTTCATTGTCATTCCTTTTCCAATAGTGTTGTACATTTGTCACGATGCTGCCATAGTAGCGATAAAATGATGATCAATGATACACATGTACGTACTATTCCTAAAATCAGAGTTCCATGTATAGATTGCAGCGTTGTGGGATTTTTTCCAAAATATAATTGTGGTACGTCTAGGTAATTCGATCCAACATTCAAGTTGATCTTCCATCGAATATGTGATTCTCAATGTACTTCCTTATCATGATATGTGAATATCAGTATTTGTAATTACACATCTCTGTTTTTGCTTGTTCCTTCAATGTCCTCATCTGGAAATACAATAAAGGAAGACGGAGCAAACATTGGTTTATAAAACTTTATAAACCAAAGATTGCCCGTGGTTTAATTTCTAAACATAATATAAAAACAAAATAAGAATGAATTAACATTGATGATCAAGCTAAGAACATAAAACAATATGCTCAAGACAAATTGAAAGCAAATAATATGCTTTACACTCATAACTGTTTTGGCCTATAAAGGAAATGTATGTAGATTAATGTGTTATTATTGTGCGCGTTAATACAAAATCATCAAATATATCTTGCCAAACGTAAACTATTAATTATTAAGATAGACGTATTTTTATACTCTTTTAAGGTTAAACTTTTTCAAAATGTATTTTGTGCAAATTTTTAAGCAAAGATTGACAAACAAGACTTATATTAGAATTCAATATACAATATAATAGACTCTAGATAAAATGCAAATCATATTCTATTTCCGATTATATGTTCAGTTCAGTTCAGTTTAGTTCAATGTAGTCAAAATTAAACACTTATCACCTTTTTGACCTATAAAAGAAATGTGGGTAAGTTAGTGTGCAATGCCTTATTTACTGAGAAGAATATTCATATAAAATTACATAGCAAAGTAAATACAACAAAACAAACCTGAAATAACTCTTTATAATTAATCAAATCATTAATTCATTAGATAGACGTACTCTTTAATTAAACATTATTTTAACTAATACAAAATATATTTTAAAATTGTTGAACAAATAATGACACAAAACTAAAACAATATGAAAGCAAAGCATATGCTATCTTAGATTATAGGAAATAATAAGTGATGTATTATGTTGTCAACATTATATATATTAAACACCCATCCCCTTTTTGACCTATAAAAGAAACGTATATATAAGTAAAAATAAAAATGATATATCGGAATTAATCATTATTTATATAGGCCATACTTTAATAATATTA